GTGTTTGAAAATTTATAGAAATTTGAGGTTGGGATTTGTAGCCAAGATCAAAAGGGCACATGCTGAAACTCATGGTATAAACATTGAACATTGTGGCAGTGAGTCTCAGTAGAGTGGATTTAATGAACATTGAGCCTCCTTGAGTTTAAGGTTAAGGCATTCACCTTCACAGCAAAATTATTCTGAACAGTTAGAGAACCCCAAGAAGGCTTTTGCCTTTTCCCATGAAATTGATAAAAACTAAATCACGGTCAGAAAGGCTTATCACATGTACCATTGAGTTCTCCATATTTGAAACAACTGAAAAATAATCAGGTTGGTTTTCCAATATCTATCTGGTATAGGTTGGCTGATAAAACGTGTCAGCTAGAAGGCTATGAACAATTGAAAATAACAGAACTACCAATCAATGGCTATGATATACAATATGTAATAGACATTAAGTAATATTTAAGTACCTGGAATAGTGTTTAGTATATTTTTAAAGTTTCTTAATAACTTGCGACTTGTGTCTGAATAAATGCTATGAGTAATGTGAACAAATAAATAATTCCCCAAGATAAGACTTTTTCCATGCTGTTTAGATGTAATTTGTTTTTGTTGTAATTAGATTAAGAAACCTTGATATAAATTGACCACGTACCAGCTGGGGAATTGCTTTTGTAATCATTGTAGCAGGCGCTATGTACAATAACGCTTGGTCTATTGTCCAAGCCTTTTCCATGCTGGTCTAAATGACTTATTAATATTGCTGTTTGATATAAAAATATCCACTAATAGATGTTTACTGCATACTTTTGTAGTCCACTCAATAACTAGGGAAAAAATCAACGATAAATAATTTTAAAAATTTATAATTTAGTATATAAATTATGTACATTCCTTTTCCAAAATCATTCAACAATTTTCTCTGATAAATTATTACAAAACAAGAAAACAATATTCATAATTTCTAAAGTACTGTAAACAGAAACACAATAATTCAATTTGATTATATCATTGTATATGTTACCAGACAAAACCTGATTTTAGGACAAACTAGTTTGGCCTTATAGATTACAGGTTTAACTGGTTTGGCAGGGTGGCGATAGAATAAACCAGATTGGCCTGCTTTAGACGTTTGAAACTACTGCTTAAACTATTATTAGAGTCTCATAAAAAGTTTAAGGGTAATGCATGAATAATTAACATCTCGATATACTGAGGAACAAAACTAAAGGTATTTATTGTTAGTTGGTCCTAAAATCGGGTTTATCCAGTAACATATACATGAAAAGTGGTATTTTACTACAAGTCCTATCCTATACAAAGAAGGTTGTGCTTGCTTAAACATTTATTTCAGCAAATTTCTGTAAGTTATTACCGTAGGTCTCATGGTAAGACATGGTCCCGAGACCAATTTACGTTTTGAGGTGGGAACCTCAAAACCAAAAAATTAGATATTGTAAGTATAAATAGTTATTTGTGCAACTAGTGAGCAAAGGGAGTTGCCTCACTCGAGAAACCATTCCTCACTTGCCTACGGCTCGTGAGTAAGTATTTCTCTCGAGTGAGTCAATTGCACTTTGCACTCGAGTTGTACATTATATTTTTCCTACAGTTACCATAAAACAAATAAATTGGTAAAGAAACGTGACATATTTTTACACATAAGAGAACTTTTAATATGACAATTAATGATACAACAGTACAACAGCTGACCAGCTGATTTACAGCCAGTACTGCCAACGTATTTCGCGTGCATACTACCTTGTCTGCATGTTACGCGCTCACTATTTCATGCCTTCACGTTGCAAATCTGGAGTGAGTGAGACAAAGTAATGAGAGTGAGTAAGTAATTGTCATTGATTACTGATGAGCAATTGGCCACTTTGCTTTCTCAAATCAGTGAGAGAACATGTACATTGTTAGGTAACTGTAGGAAAAATATATAAATCAAGTTATAAAGTAGTTTCCCTCTTTAACATTTCTTTCATGCTACTATTGATTTTTTAGATTTTTTTATAAGTACTTACTAAAATTAATGTTATTTAAATAGGAAATAAATCTGACAAGTTTTAGGGAATATTTTAGTAGAAATCCAGGCAGGCAAATGGAAATTCGCTTAGTCTGCAGGTTTGCTGTAACGGGGGTATTATCAAAATTTGGTATTTTATGGTCCTTTTTCCTCTATACAGAATGGCACAACCCCTAATGGTCAATACTGTAAAAATTACCATTCAAAAGTTAGTTATTGCAACTCATCTGATTTCACCCATAAAGTACCATAGTTTCTCTCACTGCTTGTTCGTGATAAGGGGTTTTGACAAATTAATGGGAGAAAGTTTGTGTCAGATTACTGATACCGTTAATTCATGAAAAATATTCAAGTTTTAACTTAAAAAAAATCTGAAACAGGTTCAAATGTTAGGGAAAGCCAAACGTTTACTTCCAAATGACTAGCAAGATGAAACAAATATTTTTTCCAACAGTCACCCGACAAAGTTGGCTTCCTTGTACTGTTTATAGTTCAGAAAGCTGCTAATTGCTGCATATTTATACTTTGCCGTACGGTTTATACTTTGTCGTCCGGTTTATACTTTGCCGCACATCAGGATTCCAACGAAACAACACAAAACAGCATGGTTCTATTATGCACGTAATCCGTGTAGGCTTGGAAATAGGTTGGCAACACTTAAAGATAATAATACTATGAGCAGCTGATTGACTATTATAACTACGATTTAACCTGTCATTTCGTGTTTATAGTTTCGGTATTTCTGAACTTTTCTTTTAAATGTTTTTAAAACATTCCTACGATCTTAATAAACAAGAAAATACCTTTAAAGCATTTTTTTTAGGCGCGGAAACCACTTCAAATTGCAAAAACATACGGAACTATACTCTCAAAACGCAGAGCACATTTCTTGCCGAGGAAAAATAGCGGAGTGATACGGACCGCAGGTACTACTTTCTCTAGGGCACCATTTGTGTTGCCAGCTGAACCTAAAAACGTGTTGTATAGTGTTTGAAAGACTAATTATTTATATGCTTTATAGTGACTGTAGGAAAAATATAATGTGTAACACGGGTGCAAAAGGCCTTTGCTGCACTCGAGATCATTCCGCACGAGCCACAGGCGAGTGCGTAAACGTTGCTCTCGTGTGCAGCAAAGTGCCACTTTACCCACTAGTTACACAAATAACCATTTTCCGTTGCACATTAAAATGTACTGAGGAATCATATAGTGTATATACTTAACAGATTTTGGAGATAGTCTGAATAAGAAAGATTACCTCCTTGTTCATTAATGAAGACAATTAAAAAAATTGAATATGTCACTGACAGCATTTTCAACCAAAGTTAGTCTAATTGTTGTTAATTAATAGAAAAACTAATTAATAAAATGGAGTACCAGCTTTTAGCGAATTTGTAGTAGCAATTATTACCGTAGGTGGCATGGTAAGACCAAGGCCCTTTTTCAATTTTTCATTTTGATGTCCCCAGAGGCCAAAAACACCATTTTTACAAATTGTTATATATATAGGCTACGTGTCCGTGAACACGATAACTTGAGTAATTTTTGTCCAATTTTGATGAAATTTGGTTTGAAGGTGTAAGATGGGATAAACTTGAATAAGTTGGCGAACCAGCATGATTGGACCTTGGACACAGGGTTTTATGGGATAGATATTGATTTTTTCTAATTTTTTACACTCTAAACACAAAATTTCCGGACAAAAATTACTTATCGTCTGGATGGACACATAAGTATATATATATATATATATTTTATATAGATATATACTAGCTGTATACCCGTTTTACGTAAGGGGTGAATACAATATACAGTACGAACAATACAATGAGGAATCTTATTACGTCAAGTATAAATTCGAGCATTTCATTTACAGTAATAATAAAAAGAAAGAGTTATAACTAACTCAATAGTAAGTACGGTGTATTAACAAGAAATAATAATAATATAGATACTATATGGAAATAATGTCAGTTAAACTATTAAACATTGATAATAATATGGTTTTTTTTATTACAATAAAACATTTAAATGAGAAGTGGTATAAATATGCCATTTAGAAGATCTTCCCCTTCTTTCACCCAAGGTTTCTATTGTTGAAAAAGAGTCAATGTGACAAAGACAATGTGGGTGGTTTATCTGAGTGCCTCCTCATACACGATTATATGTTTGCAGTCTGGCTGCCCGGAGCATGAATGAAGAGGCTTTTGCTGGATCTCACACTGGAATACGCAACGTACAACTATTGTCCGTGAGAGAAACATGCTGATCCGCTCAATTCGGCTGTGGAAAACGTCTGGTCTTGTGATTTATTAATCGTCATGACATAGCAAACTGTGACCCGGAAATGTAGCTGCTTGAACTCAATTGGTAGTTGATAAAAATTAATGGAAGTCTTGGGATAAATTGATAAATACCAATTCCTCAGCACCAACCAGTGAGAATCTCTACTCCAATGATGTATTACTTGAGACTGCGAATACGAAGACGCGTTCCATTACACAATTTGGCTTGATGTAAGTTCATTAGCAGCATCACTGGAGATCCAATCTTCAAGGTGAGCTCATAGGCAGGCGAACCGGGTGCTGATACTGAGTCGAGAAACCCTACTGGATAGTTAACAATATCTTCTTCTCTCAGGATGGTGTTCACAGACTTACAAGTAAGATAGAAGGTATACATACATAAATATTTGAACGAAAGGTGTTTTTGGCCTCTGGAGACATCAACATTAAAAAGTAAATAAGTCCCGGGCCTAGGTCTTACCATGAGACCTACGGTAATAGCTACTTCCCTATAGAGAAATTCGCTAAAAAGAGGGCTAGGCTTGGAGTAGACCATCACAGCTGAAACAGCTTATTGTGCACCTGATAAACATATATTGACTTTCTCCTTCATGCTGAATAAAGCATAAATAAGCACGACAGACTAAACATCATGAGATCAAAATTGGAAAATATATAAAATCTAAGTTTACACAAAATCTGTTAATATAAAGTAAAGTACTGCCAGTAGTATATTCTGTACAATTGATTTCTTGGCATTTTACAAACCCATGATTTGTCCTAAATAGATAACAAATTTAAATATAAAAATAAATATCCTTATCTATATAATTAAAATAATAAAAAACTACTAATACAAATAATATATTAAAAAATCACATTGACATATAAATAAATTACAAAGATTCAAGCTAATCTAGTTCTATGAGAGGTATACTGTCGGGGGTGCTTTTGCCGCTACTGCTGCCCGACTTGGTAACTCGTGATATCAACACTTTGCGCGAGGCTCCATTGATCATCTGAGGCAACTGCGTTTGTTTGCCATTGAAATTGCTCGACAAATTCAACTTCCGCGTCTTTGTGCTTCTATCATCGTTTGATTGATTAGACAACCTCCGCTTCATCTAAAATAATAGAAAATGTTAATCTTGAGTCAACATTTGAGATTTGAAGTTTATCAAAATTCAAAAAGAATCTCTTGGTTATCAATTAATTAGTGGTCATGGAAAATTATTCAGCAACTCACTGTATACATGAAAACATTTATAAGCCAAAATGTCTCAATGTGACACAAATTACTCTATATAAAGAGAATGTGGATATTTTTCAGATATGAAATGTTAGGCAAATGTTCGGAAAAAATAAATCTGAATACTCAGATTTCTGAAAAAAGTAACTCCTTTCTACCATAAAACAGTGAGGCAGATGACTCAATGCTTGCCAATAGATACAACACTACAACAGACTAGGAGCATGATTAACAATTCACAAGCATTAAAATACAGTATAAAAATATTATATTACCATACCCATATAGCAAAAAACTGTAATGAATTTAATTTTTTGTGTAGATATTATTCTTTTCCTTGAGGTAATCCGGATACAGTAGTTAGCCAGGTAGATTGGAGGTATGATAATCAAAAGTATTAATGTATTTGAACAACACACTATTACTAGTAACTGTGAATTAAACACAGAAAATAAAGGCTTCACGTCCAGTGAGTGGCCATCGAAGCCCAGAGAGCTGAGATACTTACGATTGGTTTACTGTTCTTGTTTGGAGTCGACGTAGCCTGACTCGGTCTCCGCAGCTGGGTCCCACTCGCCGTGACACTATTAGGTTTCATCTTCCTCGGAGCAACAGTTCTCCTTTCGACTTCAATTTGAGCTGGAAAAACAGGAGAAATTACTGGGTTGATTCTTTTATGACATTCAATGTTGTTAAATTTTATGTACTTCATTTCTTTCGATACCTGTAGAGTAATATTTTTTAAACCCCTTCCCTTAAAAATGGGAAGGGTACTCTGGTTTTTTGAATGACTGTCACCATTCTAGTGGTAAGTGCCTTGAACCGTAAGAGAGCAACCGGTTTGATACCCAGCACTTGTCAGTGGTTTGGACTGCTTTCTTTTATTGATGTTCAAGTCATCTCTTAGGCCTAAAACCCATTTTGTTTGATTAATCAATGTTTGAAATTTAAAGACTGTTTCAGTTTAAAAAGATCTACAATAGTGGGTTTACTAGATTATTTTAATTACTATGGGCTTAAATCGACAACTGTGTACAAAAACTGGACTTTATTTCCATCACAATTAGGAGATTGAACTATTACATTTTGTTGGCCAATTTAGTCTAATGTGTACTTAAATTGAATTAGAACAGCAAAACATAAATGCTGCTTTTGTTTTAGTTGAGGGAGCGTGTTATCTTTTAGAAAGTTTAGTAGATTCTCTATACTGTAGATCGATGATGCCGGTGCAGAACTTGTGGAAATCAACAGAATAGATAGATATGATAGATACTCAATGAGCGAGAGTTAAATTAAAATACCCCCGCCGCAGCAAACCTGCCGACTAAGCGAATTTCCATTCGTCTGAATTGATTTTCAGTTAAATATATTTTAATAACATTAGGTTTAACGAGTACCTAGGTTTGCTGCTACAAGGAAACTAATAAAGTGTGTTTTTGAGTAAAATATTGATAGCTTAGTACAAAATAAATAAATTTGCCAAGTTTGATCAAAATATATCCATAAACAAGCAAACTACAACATTTGAAAATATTCTCCATAAGAATAACATGGGAATTTTAAATTTACAATTTTTTAAATTTTCTCCGCTACTAATAATCGAACAAAAATACTTTTATATACTTAATTATTTGTTTTTTTAAGCTCTTTAAAAAGATCTAAAGAGAAATCGGGAAAATTTGTGTTTTGAGGGTCAAAGGTGAGAAAGACCAATTTTTACCCCATAAACCCCCCGTAAAGCCCCGTTCCCATGGTCCAATCGGACAAAAGTTACTCAAGTTATCGCGTTCACGGACGTATATATATATATATATATATACATATATAAAAATTTGAACAAATGGTGTTTTCGGCCTCTGGGGACATCAAAATGAAAAAGTAAATCGGTCCCGGGTCTAGGTCTTACCGTGCCACCTACGGTAATAGCTACTTCCCTATAGGGAAATTCGCTAAAAAATTAATTTCAATTGAATATTTGTAGAGATGATGGAATGGGAAAAGATATATTACGTAAGAGCGAAACAAAAATTGCTAACAGAAATAATAACAGTGAGAGTCAAAACTGATAAGCTCCTAAAGCAAAACAATAATTATGTCAAACAACTTGTCAGCCTGTCTTCTTGAATATTCATAGTATTTTTTATAGATTTCATTATGCTTTTACCTTTTAAAACCTAATAATTAAAAAAATAAATAAAGGTAATGTAAATAATTTTATGAAAAAGGTTAAGGTTTTTTTTTTATGAAAACGTATCCTATCCACATCATAATGGACCTTAAGAGAGGGGTATGGCGTGAAGCGATTACTCAGCTGTAATAAAAAAGTGTTCTTGTAAATTGGTGCGTAGGCCTACTGCATACACATTGTAACTGAATTAAAAAATATTAAGTAGATTTAAGCAGAATGTATACTTACAGAGGATGCATATATCGTCACTGTCACTGCTGTCTTGTTGAGGCTTTGGTTCCTCAAGGACGTCCTCACTCAAGATAACAATGGTGTCATCATCATCATCATCATCAGCCTTTGCTTCTCTCCTCATTTTCTCACCTCCATCACTCGAATCTGGTGAAAGTTCTACATCACTTAGTTTCTTCTTCTCACTCTCAACACTAGTCCTGCTCTCACTTCCACTATCACTAATGGTTTCGTGTGTGTTGATTTTTGTTTCGGGAACATGCTTCATAGGAACGCTACGATTTCTCGGACCAGTGCTCTTTCTTGCTTGGTTCGGTTTATGTTTTCGTGCAGCTTCACTTTTGGGCGGACTTTTGGTAACAACCGCTATTGGTTCAACATCACTATCACTGTCAGCGATTGTGTTGATATTCATATCACTTTTGCTAAAATCGTTGCTGATAGTTATGCCATTTCTCTTTGATTGAGCTACTACTGATCTTGATTGATGATCATTGTTGGAGTTGTCTGATGACGCATTTCTCATTGGGTTATGAGATCCTCCAGCCAACCTTTGGGTTTCATCTTCACTTACTGAAACATTCTTTGATTCTTTTTTTGCAGATAAACTGGATGAACCTGTCAAACCCAAATAACTGGTCAATGATTCTTTGGTATTTCCTGGGGCACTCTCCTCGTCACTACTTATACTGGTCTTTGGCTTCTTAGATTTGTTTGGAGAGTTCTTTGCAACACCCTTTTTAACTATCCTCTGTTTACCTATCAGGGATTTACCCTTGCATTTAAATATTCTTTTAAAGGTTTCTTCAGAATCAGTCTCATCATCACTACTAAGACCTGTAATAGGCTTTGATTGTTCCTTTTCTTCATCTGCACTTTCACTACTAGATCCGTGATGTTTAGTTGGTGAACTGGGTTTTCTTTTTGGATCAGAACTTTTGATTAATTTCATTCGCTTTTTCTTTGGCTTCTCATCAGAATCTTCCCCACTATCAGAGCCAAGATCTTTAGCACTCTCTCGCTCAGCAAATTTATCTATGACCTAAAAGAGAAACCAGAATTTAAAATTAATTACAAGCAAGGCATGTGAGTGGTGATAATTTAATAACTCTTTCTTTTTGTGAAAATTCTATGAATGTTACTACAGTACTTGATTACAATAGTCAATTGCTCATACAAATTAGGGCTACAAATTAAGAGTTTGTGTTAAATAATTTCACACTAGAAGTATGAGTCATACAGGTTACCTTAAACACAATTACTCCCACATATCCCAGCAATACCTCTTGCCAAACAAAATCATCCAAAAGACGTACCATAATATTGACTGTGATGCTAGGTTAAAAGATCAGACATAGTACATTCAAACCAAGAGGTGCTTAAGGGCAGTTTGTGCTCCTTTGAGGACTGATAGAAGACAGTAGGTAAGAAAAACTTTTCAGAAGATAACATAAATAAGTAGGCTACCATCACAAAGGATTGCTGGTGGAACAGAGGAATGGTCTGAGAAAGAGGGTCCATAGTCTGTGCTCATGAAGTACAAGTGACTGAGATACGTGCTGGAGGGCACTCACTGAATACCAGTTAAAGAAAAACTTGGATGAGTTATGTAAAGAAATCTCAAAGGTACTGGACTGAGCAACACTTCATAGGAGTTAAACACTGATTATGCCATGACTATGCTAAAAGAAGATAAAAAGATAGTCCTGAGGGGATGTTGCTACAGTTGTAGTATTTCCAAGGATCTATCCAGCCACAAGACACTATTCATGAGACAGCCAAAAGTAGGCCTGTACTTGAATGACCATGAATAACTGATCCGTGCAGGGAGGTTGTAATGTTAAATGGGCACCCAAAATATTTAAGTTGCCTGGTACATGATGTCTTGTATCCCTACGGGATTGTACAGCCCATCCTTGATGAGGATTGAGGTAGGCTACTTACCTTTTGTTCCTTCCCACGGAAAGCTTAGCCAGTGAGAGTATACCATCAGACATTCCTGTGTCTCGAGTATCTTAGCAGATTTAAGTATCTCCTGGCAAGGCAAACACAATCATCCCTCATAACTTAGCATCCGTACCTCATGCATCTCCGGCCAGCTACGGTTATTTCTGGAGATGCTTGGGACTGAAATGTCAGTTCTGGATAGGACAAGACAGCATTTTTCCTCCAATCAGGGAAATCAAGGAATTTTATTTCATTGAAATTAAAATTTTGCACCCCCAAAGAAAACCCTTCCTGGTGTAAAAAATCCCACCCAAATATCAGGTACTTTTGTATCTAGAAAAATACATCCACATTTATTAATTCTTTTCCAATTTGAGTTCTTTCACATATTCACAAGAACTACTTCCTGTTTCCACAACCACCCCCTGGTTTCCTACCTCCTGTTCCTTCTTCTTGAACAGCAATGCGTTCTGGTTTAATCGCTCCTGCAGCTCCTCATTGTCTCGTGCTGGGTCTACTTGCTGGTCGAGGTAGGAAACAAGAACATCGTAGTCATCATACTGTCTCAGCCGCTTCAGCATCTCCCCAAACTCTTTGAATGCTGCTTGAGCTGTTTCAAACAGTAAATAAATGTACAATATTATTAAAAAAGTGATGGTTTTTTTTATATGTGCGTAAATAGATAATATCCTATAACCCAAGTTCATGAATTTGGCATAATTTAGGCCCTCTTCAAGTCATTAAATCTTCTCAGAGATAAAATCCAAGATAAAACCATGGTTTACATCTATAGCCTAATATTAACATTTAATGCAGTGTAACAGTTATATTCTATAATAGTTACAGTATAAAGAATCTAATTACTCTCTTCTACATCCACAGTTCATTGTGAATTCCAGGCAAACCAAACTAGTACTGAATAAAACAAACACTACGACAACTTAATCTGTAGGCCTACATATTACAGCTGTCACAATACATCAGAACCACTTACAAGCAACTTAAATCCATACGTTGACGTTCATGTAAAAAAAATTGTAAGGTACATTACAACAACTACAATCACCTTAAGCTTTGTTTTGATATTCTAAAAAAAGCAAAACAGGTGTCAGTGAAAAAGTACATATTATAGTATCAGATTCTTCATATCATAAAGGCATAGGCTCGCCATAGTGGGGCCTTTCTTGGGTTTCCTGGCAGCATGTGCCACGAGCCTATCCCGAGGATGCTGATATGAAATGCTTGCGCACTGCCACCAACTCCCTAGGAGTGACCGGGCGAGAGTCGCTTTGGCCGAAGCGACACTGCTGCAGTGCAGCGGAGAGGCCTGGAACTACTACAGCCACTGACAAGTGACAAAGTACTGTAAGACTTTTGCTTTTTTAGCACATCAAACAAAACCTAGCCTTTAAGTTGTGTCTACTGAAAACTACAGTTTTTTACATACGACTTTTTGCATGGAGCGTCAATGTATTAGGATTCCCTACAAACTTGATGTCAAGCACTGAGGTTCAAATATATCCAATCATAGTATTAAAGTGTCTTGGCCTCACTAGGTTTTATTATGACCTCCATACCTAGCTACAGTTGTATTTTGTAAGCACGACTCACCCATGGAATGTATCTTGATTGGCTGCATCTCGATGCCTTCCTGTTTCAGAGCAAGAGTCACCAGCTTCTTGATGTCCTGGAAGTCTGGGAACTCTCGATGCTTGTTGTAAAACTTCTCAATGCATCGGTTGATGTGTGGGTATGTCGTTCCTAAATATGTTTTTGTTTTTATAATCCAAAATTAACACAAATGTTTTATATTCATACATTACGTACGGATCTGTATATTTGTTTAATACGTTTAAGAACTTTTTTAAACTTTGAAGGCAAGAGGAATGGATACATAGCTCATACGTCTAGCTACGTGATCGGACAGAAGTTCAGTCCAATCACTTTGAGCACACCCATCACCAGTATTATTTCTCGTATTATTGTCACTTACAGTAAGTTTTTTGTATTTTTTGTTTCACACCGGACATATTACCCCCAAAGCAGAATGGTTCCTACGTGTCTGCAACGGCCTGTGAAAACCTCAAAATGTGTCCGCAAGCGCTAAAACTAAAAAGCTAAATAATGACTTATATACCGGTATATATATATACTCTTTAGGGCTACTAGTAATATAGTTAAATAAAATAAGTAAATTTCAATAACTTGTATAGCCTACTTTTAAAACAAAAAACTAAAAAACTATTAAGGGGTAGGCATAGTCAGGTTATTTAAATTTACTTTTTTTTAAATACGTATATATATACACATACCTTAACAAGTGTTAACAAGGTCTTCAGAAGTAAAACTTTAAATGTACTATAGTTTCTTTATCTAAACACACTAGGGATGGACGGGATTGAAATTTTAGTTCGGGACGGGACGGGACGGGATTTTTATTTCCTTCCCGATTTTCGGGACGGGATGGGACAGGATTTTTTTCTGTGCATAAAAAAAAGTACTGTATTGCAGTTACCAAAAAAGACATACGAAATCAATTTTTACCATTTGTGGCACTGATCTATAAAAACCAAAAAATGGGTAACAATTTACAGGTACCTATAGAAACTTGTGACTCGCGGGTCACGGGGTGATCGTCTGTAGAACTCACGGTCACGGCGCGATCGTCGTCATGACTCGCGGTCACGGCGCGATCGTCGGTATGACTCCGCGGTCACGGGGTTATCGTCGGTATGACTCCACGGTCACGGTGCGATCGTCGTCATGACTCGCGGTCACGGCGCGATCGTCGGTATGACTCGCGGTCACGGCTCGATCGTCAGCATGACTCCGCCATCACGGCATGATCGTCAGTATGACTCCGCGGTCACGGCGCGATCGTCGGTAGGACTCTGCGGTCACGGCGCGATCGTCGGTAGGACTCCGCGGTCACGGGGTTATCGTCGGTATGACTCCACGGTCACGGTGCGATCGTCGTCATGACTCCACGGTCACGGTGCGATCGTCGTCATGACTCGCGGTCACGGCGCGATCGTCGGTATGACTCGCGGTCACGGCTCGATCGTCAGCATGACTCCGCCATCACGGCATGATCGTCAGTATAACTCCGCGGTCACGGCGCGATCGTCGGTAGGACTCTGCGGTCACGGCGCGATCGTCGGTAGGACTCCGCGGTCACGGCGCGATCGTCGGTATGACTCGCGGTCACGGCGCGATCGTCGGTAGGACTCGCGGTCACGGCGCGATCGTCGGTAGGACTCCGCGGTCACGTCGTGATCGTCGGTATGACTCGCCATCATGGCATGACCGTCAGTATGACTCCGTGGTAACGGCGCGATCGTCGGTAGGACTCCGCGGTCACGGCGCGATCGTCGGTATGACTCGCGGTCACGGCGTGATCGTCGGTATGACTCGTGGTCACAGCGTGATCGTCGGTAGGACTTCGCGGTCACGGCGCGATCGTCGTTATGACTCCGCGGTCACGGCGTGACTGTCGGTATGACTCCGCGGTCACAGCCCGATCGTCGTTATGACTCGCGGTCACGGTGCGATCGTCGGTCCAATAATCGCGGCCACGGCGCGATCGTCGTTATGACTCCGTAAATGTGTCCGCAGGCCCGCGTTTCTCGGCGTTTCGTGTCCGCGACAATGTCGCAGCGTCGCTCGTTGTTCTGCTTTGGGGCATATTACTACTACACCACTGCAAGACATCCAGAACTGGCCAGATGGAGATGACTATTTAATTTTTATTTGTGTTTCTATGCCAGTGGCATTTTTTACGTTTTGAAATGGATTGGTCCAAACCCTGGTCTTGTTACTACCTAACGTTGACCTTTTTTTTATAGCAACATTAATTCATAGCCCAATGACAAATGACATCTGGGTCTGGAAACGATCTCGCTTGGATTGGAACCAGCAACCTTCAGAATTGAAGGCGAGCACAATAATGATTCCGCTACCCAGAAAATTATTTGCCCATCAGCAAATTTCTAGATTGCATAAATGCTACCTACACAATTTACACTAGGAGGCTTGAATTGGCTAAAATATCTGAAAAATCTGTTTTACATAATAAACCAAAATGAATAAATAAACAAACTCGTGTAAAAAATTACTACAAATATTTCAATAAAATATCAATTTAGAAGGTGTTATGATTACCTGCAAACGAGACCTTCCTCAGGTAAGGCCTGTCAGCGTCTGGCAGTTTTCCCTTTATTTCACAAATCTTAGCATATATCTTCGTAAATTGTTCTCGATACCTAAAAATTACAACAATAGTTTTAGTACTAATAGATGTTGGTACTAAAACCAGTTTCAAGTGAGTGGTACAATTCAACAATTTGTTTTGTACATTCAACAGCCCCTTGTGATCCTAAGGACTATGTATTTAAATTTTAGTATAAAAATAGCAGCTGATATATATTTGATATCGCTTGTCCTAGTCGCTTAGATGGCCAATATAAAAACACTCGACCACCCTCAGAAGGCTTTCTTAATATACGCTTATTTACACAAATTTTGTTGGTTGTAGTGTCTAATATGGTAAGCGACAGACACAGCTGATACTGTCAAAATTCTGCAATTATTTGTAAAGGCTACAAGTACTCTAACTATCAATACACAAGTGAATGGGCACTTTTTGTATTACAGTAGTAATACACTTAAAATTTATTGGACAAATCACTCTATTTCCATTTGCAAAAGGAATTGAAATAAATTTGGCACACAGAAATAGGCAATAGTCTGAAATAGAATATAGGCCTAGTGAACAACAGATAGTAACATGATCAGTGTTTTGGCATGTTAGAAGTCGAACCACTGTTATTCTTAAGTTACTATTCATTGTCCACCATTGGAAAAAAAAAATTAAAAAAGAATAAATATACTAGTACAAGTAAATCATAGGTTTTGTAGTATTATACCTTGCCTACCTGTCGAGTTTAAGATACGCTGAGTTATCCTCGTCGTCCCAATCTACTTCTCTTTCCTCAATCTTCTTGATCTTCAAATTGATCGCCTGAATGAAAAAAGTCAAGTTGGTCATAAATAGTAGGTATCCTAGATTCTAATTTATATTTTTTTATTTATCACCTGACGTCTTCCCAAACCACTTGTTTTCAAAGAAATCAAAAACTATTGGTTACTTTGTATTATTTTTCATACCTTATACAAGTAACCGGATGAACTAATTTAGATGGAGTATTTTCGACAAAATATTGCAAAGAACTTGGTTCCAGGGTAGGCCTATGATTTTCAGGGGAAATTAAACATAATAAATAATTTTCAAGTTTCAGGAGTTTTCAAAACCAGGCCTACTCCCTGAAGTTAGGGATGATTTTATAATAGGGGCCTGTGAGCCAAACTTGTTTCTTTGGTTCAAAATTGTAGATTTTTGCTTTTTGAGAAAAAAAATCAGGAGTTGCTTTATACCGCATTCCGTGAGTTTTTGGAGTGAAACGCTTCCACCAGTCTAATGGGACTGGAGGGTTGCAGCTTATAGGAAAAGAAAAAGTGTAACAGAATGTGTCATTGTAAAAGGCTGGTTCACATGCCCTCAGTCCCTTGCCAACAGTCTAAACATCGAGTTAGGGTTTTTATCGCCATGGCAAAATGGTGAAAGAGGCTGACAGGGTTTTCTGGGGCTTTTGACTAACATTCCACCCTCAAACTGGTAACAAAAGAGTTTGAATGGACTCGAGTGTTGATACCAATTCCAAGGCTGCGCCACAGTGGTTTCACTGTGACTCGGCCTAGCCTTAACACTCCCCTAATGAGCGGCGCTTCACTCCAAACACTTGCCGAATGCAGTATAGAAAGAATTGATTTTATAACTATTGATTGTTGTACTACGATTTTAGAATCAATCTACAGAATATTGTATCCTGAAATCCTTATAGACACTTTCTGCAATCACGATCATGTTGTGGAATAAACGCTCAGCTCAAAAATCCAACTGCTTGCTAATCTCTTACATAAATTACCCGACCCGAGCTTGGCCCGGAAATGGTTCAGAAACCATAGCCTGAACTTACCTCTCAGGCCAACTGTTGCCCTGCCTATCCCAAAAATTATGGAGACCCACAGACCCCAGTTTATAAATAAAGGTTTGTGGTTTTTTAGCAATTTCATTGAATTAGGTTTTAGGTTACGAAATGAAATTTGATCAACTACAACAATGATAGAAGATCTGGTAAGCCAATGGTTCTACAACTCATTTCTTTTTTTTCTCTTACCCATACCTAGCTTAATTTGTATGTAACTTACCCTCAAAACCTTTTCCAGTTTCTTTAAGTGCCTCCGTTTTTTGGGACATTCAATGACTGGTTCATCATCATTGCTGCCTCCTGCGTCCTGGCTCTCCTCCGATTCACCTATTTTGAGTTTAGAGCTACCACCTTTCTGAAAAATTAACAAAACCAAATTACAAAAAAAAAAAATAAAAAAAATAAAACACTATACAGGGTAGGACAGGGATATATCTAACGTGGCCATACGTCCCGCTTTCGGCGGGACAGTCCCGCTTTACAACAAGTTGTCCCGCTGTCCCCACAATCGGCCGGGGGACGCCAAAATGTCCCGCTTTGGAGGTCAGGCGTTTGAAATATTCACTGGAATATGAAAATTCGCCTTTTCACACTAATGTTTAGTTCGTGTAAGAATACTAGTTAGTAATTTTAAGGAAAGCTGACGGAAACCAACCTATTAACCTATTTGGTTAACTGTACAATTAGCACTTCATCGTTCATCCATCGATCGCGTGAACTCGACTATACAATATACTGTACTAGGCAACGATCGGCACTAGTACAATTTATTTCCGCGCGAGTGTTGAAGCGCTGTAGGCTACTACGGCCTCAAAAGACGCATGTAGTCAGTAAACTAAACTGTCAAGTTGTTTACAGTACCTTAACCTCTAACTTTACATTCGGTGCAAGTTTGTTTGTGATTTGACTATTGTAGGTCTACGGTTTAATTACTGTTGCATTAGATAATGCCCAAACGGAAGTGCACATTTAATAGTGAATTACAATCGAAATATCCGTTTATTAAACTTAAGTTTGAGACGAACAAAAGTGATGTAGTCTGTGAGAAGTGTCGTACTGAGTTTAGCGTTGCTCATGGAGGAGCTAATGATATTGATAAACACTTAAAGTCAAACAAACATGTTGCTTCTGACCATGCTGCGTGCTCGAGCAAAACTATATCTTCATTTTTCAAAAGCAACGTCCCGAACAAAAAAGACCTGGACGTCTCAGCGGCTGAGGGTGCCTGGGCCTACCACACCGTACGTGAGAACCACAGCTTCCGCTCCAACGACTGCGCATCCAAGGTAATAAATACTTGTTTTGAACCAAAGTTCCACTGTGCTAAGACCAAGACGCAGGCTGTAGTTACACAAGTTATTGCCCCATTAGCTCAGGCTGAGCTTAAAAAGGATCTGACTAGTTGCAACTATGTTTGTATAATGACAGACATCAATTAACACAAAAAGTAATTTCATTCAGCGGGGATAACACCGATACAAATTTTGGTGGTGCAGCTAGAAAGAGGAAAGAAAATGTTTATTTCAAACTAAAAGGTTTTTTAGGCAGAGATATTGTAGGCATTGGATGTGCAGCACATATAGTGCATAACGCCATACTAAGTGCATCAGATTGTTTGCCAGTAGATGTAGAGGTTATTGTCGTTAAAGTGTATTCATTTTTCTATCTGTACACAGTAAGGGTGGAAGCTTTCAAAGAAATATGTGATTCGGTCGACATTGAGTACCACAAAATGTTGGGATACAGCAAGACTCGCTGGCTTGCTTTAATGCCAGCAGTTGAAAGAATTTTGAAGCTTTTTGTGCCACTTAAAGAGTACTTTCTTAACCAGCCGAAATGTCCTGAGATCCTGAGGAAGTTTTTTGGAATCCCACATTCAGAAGTATGGCTTTATTTCATACATAGCCAAGCAGCTACGTTTCAACAAACTGTTTCAAATGTAGAAGGTGACAAGGTCTCAGCAATCGAGGTAACTGTTCAAGTAAAAATCTTGAAGGAAAATCTCAAACAGAAGGCCGTGAACAAATTTGTTCCACACGCTTGGGGTGCCTCAAGGCTCCATTTTAGGTCCCCTTTTCTTTTTAATCTACATAAATGACCTCCCTAAAGCTATTAATAGAGATTTGATTCTGTTTGCTGACGATACTACTGCAATCATTAAAGAAAATAGTAGAGAAGAGCTTCTTACATCTCTCACAGAAGTTATGAAAGAAATGGAAAATTGGTTTAAAATAAATGGCCTTAAACTAAATGTGGATAAAACCCAAATTATAAAATTTTCAGCCAGAAATGAAAGAGAATTAAATAGTTTTTCCAATTTAGTCCATACAAATAAATTCCTAGGCATTCATCTAGATGAAAATATTAACTGGAAGGTGCATCTAGATGCTATAAAGAAAAAAATTAGATCTGCATCATCTGTCTTTGTCCACTTGAGAGAATGTGTCACCATTGAAGTACTTAAAATGTTACTCAGAATCCATCTTGAGGTATGGTGTGATTTTGTGGGGACAGGCAACTGATGCAAAAACTATTTTCAGACTTCAGAAAAGAATCATCCGAATTATGACTAATTCCCACCCCAGAAGTCCTTGTAAATTACATTTTCAAAATTTAAAAATCCAAACACTCACAGGACTATACATATTTGAATTATTAAACTACATACACAATATAAAAAATAACCTCCCGGATTCATTCAAATTCACACACAACTATAGTACAAGAAACGAAACAATTTTCAGATTACCAAATCACCGTTTGACCTTATTTGAAAAAAGTCCTTTGTATGCAGGTTTAAAAATGTATATAAACTACCGGTATATTATAAAATAATGAGTTCAAACAAGTTTCAAGAAACATTGAAAAATGGACTCCTTGAACGTGCGTTTTATAAAATAGAAGAATTTTATAACCATCCCTTGAGTTAATTTTTTGTTTTTAATAATTTGCTTAACTACTGTAACATTATTTGGCTAGGTATTTTTTCCTGTTACTTTGTACTTTGTATTTTTCTAGTCTAGGCTCAATTTTGACAATGCACCTGTTCTATATGTTATCACATCTAAAAGAATGTTATGTGCAAATAAATAATGTCTAATGTCTAATGTCTAATGTCATAGTTCGCAATTTGATGACGAAATGTTGCTCAGAAGAAGAAAAACAAAGTATCACTACCACCTTTGTTTCGTTTTACGAGACATCACTGCAGTATTTAGATCAATGGACTGTCCATTTTCAAAACTTGGAGATATTTCAATGGGTGATGTTGAAGAACACTCCAAAGTGGGAGGACATCCAACCGTCAGTTGACTATTTAATTAAGAATAAGTATTTTCCACCAGATTGTGATACTAAAGTATTCGATGAAATTGGGTATGTGTTGAAATATGTTGAAAGCAATGTTGCTAATTGGAACGAAGAACAAGTTGAAACAGATTCAAGATGGTCTAAGATCTTCACGCACTTTAAAGATAACTCAATAAACTGCGAATACGCAAGTAAAATTGTGGAATATGTGTTGACTCTCCCAGGGAGCAATGCATCTGTTGAAAGAGTATTTTCATCAATGACAAAAGTGTGGACATCTGAAAAAACTCAACTTTCTGTCAATGTTTTAAAATCGATTCTTCAAACAAAATTTAATTTCAATTTGAGTTGTCAGGACTTTTATGCAATGTTACGATCATCTCCAAAAGCGTTGCAACAAATAGCCTCCAGTGACAAATATACCACTAAACTCTGAGATCAAGTAGACTGAGCTACGGTTTGAGCAAATATTTAATTAAGTTAAGTGGTTCCCTTGTGTCGTTTACCGTAGTGTGTTTACGTTTGCTAAGAAAAACTAAGATGCAAATAATTATTCAATTTGAGCTAGTATTCATTTACAGTATTATTTGTTATGTTTTTGTAATGTAATGTCAATGGTTATTTTATTATTAAGGACGATTTTGTGAATTTCTTGCGCTGTAAATTAATAAATGGCAAACTTTTTATTGAGATTCTTATTGACAATCCATTTGTTGGATGTTAAGGATAAAGTTGGTTAACATTTACATAGTGGAATAATAATTTACAAATGTTTATTTGACGATTAGAATTGAACACCGAGATTAAACTTGATGATTTTTGCAGGCCTACCAATTAAGCTGAGCATTTATTGGTGTATTAGGATATTTACTTTTGAATAAAATGTTATATAGGGATAACAATGCATTTTTTTACTGTATGATAAAAAATTACATTAAAAACTGTCCATGTTACGTTTTATTAGTTATTCCCGAATCCCGATGACATCCATCCGCCATTTGTAAATTCAGTTCCTTTGCTCATTTCCCGCTGTTAGGGTGCACTTGGTGAAGCTATCCACTTTGACTTTTGAGGATATTTCGAAGTAAAGATATGTTCCGTCCAATGAACTTAATTTAAATTCATGTTTAAACACCTTAAACAAATAGGTTAAATATAGTAAAAACTCAAATAAAAATCAATTTATGATTTAAAAAATATCACGTCTAGATTGCATAAAAACGCTAGTTTACACCTATTATTTTTCAAAATTCCATACCCCCCAGACCCCCCGGCAAGGTTTGTCCCGCTTTGAACTCCAAAATATATGGTCACGTTAGATATATCCCTACTTTTAAGATGGCACTGTGAGTAGTGGGGTGTACTGGAGGAATGGGGTTGGGCTCAAATGACGCTGTTGCTTTGGGATTTTCTAAGAATATCACTTTCAGTAGTAGACATGGCTTGTTCGAGTGAGCAATGTGCTTTTGCACTCGAGATGCATTTTTTTCACAAATCAGTCTATTGTTGCTGTGCAGCTAGCGTGTGCTGCGAACTTGTTATCGGATGGTCTGCTGTAAAGCTGTTACATTTTGGGCTTCAGAGTATTAGTGGTGTCTTGTGAAGGATATTTGGAGCTCAAAGTACCATCCAAACTCCTGAAAACGCTTACCTTGTTAGAAGATCGATTTTGCAGTCTCCTCAACGTTCTGCTAGTACGAGTAAGCATGCATCCGAGCTGGTGTTGCCTAATCGTGCTGTGCCTCGTATTCTCCATGAGGACCTACACCTCCATCCATACAAGCTTGTAGTTGCACATGAACTCCCACAACGACACTGGCATCATATTTCTGGAGCGTTAAATAAGCAGAATATGCTCTATTGCTATGCCTAGGGTAGTTCACGAGAGGACAATGATGCCTTGAAGGATGCAATTCAGCTTGAGGTTGGCCGCACTCCACAACAAATGCCTCAAACAAGTTATGATGAGCTCCAGATCCAGAAAACAGCAGTGTATTTACAATTAGGGACACCACTTACATGAAATGCTGTTTAATCCATGTTAAGTTATATTACAATAAACTCCCAGGTGTAACCTTTTAACCCCAATATAAAATTTGGCTCTAATATTTCGTTGTTGTCTTTTAATGTAGGTACCTTCAAAATTAGGGATACTTCCCTGCCCCACCCCGTACTAAGACAGATAAGCCTTTGGATTGCAAAATTAATAAATTAAGGTTTATGTTATTTGCATTGCTCTCAGATTTCAAACTACAACACATCCCTAAAAGATAGGATGTTGGAAAACAACTAGACAATATGACTAAACAGTTTATCAACAAGTATACTTCCAAGATTGTATTATCAGTTAGTTACCTTGTTGTGTTTCAGCTCGCTTATCACAAGCATGAGATTGAGCCAAGGCTTGGTGTTGGAAGTGTTGACTTTCTCTGTCTCCGTCTCCAGAATGTTTTGGAAGAACAAGGAGCCGAGGAACTCTTGTTTGGCCGTTCTATACGCACGAGTCATCTTCTGCACCACCCGCTCCATCTGCTCTGAGTTTTCATGGTCCTGGCAGACCCTCAGGAACTGCGGCAAACACAGTGGTTGTTTTAAACAAGTTATCTTACTCTTTGGTACTGTCTTTCTTTTCTATAAATGATTTTATAGGTTATTTGAATATCTAGCAACAGAAACACAACTTGGTAAAGCCAAAGAGTATTCCCAAACTCTATTAAATCAACTTCTATTGCTAAACCAATGTTTAAACGGCACCAGGAATAAGGACTACTCACAGTATCAAAAAGTTCCTTGGTTTTGAAGAGGCTCTCCTGCAAAGCCAGTCCTTTGGCGTCAACAACCTGTAACCAATTGGAAAGATTAAACCAATGAAATCAATCAAATTAACTTAAAAATCAACTTAAGGGGACTGTGTTTGGGAACTGTATACCCAAACTATTTTATAGTTGAATAAAATGCACAGTAATAAAATTTGAAGCCTCAATATTGTTCTTGTAAAGGAGATAATAAGAATTAGTTGTGCTTAACATAAAGTTGAATATAAAATAACTTACGTCATCTCTTCTCGACGTAGAAGGCCTAATGTGGGAGCTTTTCTCACGTTTTACAGGAGGCAGCTGTGTCAACTGAAACAAAATGATTACTTCAAAATTAATTTCTAGTTGATATTTCTGGTAGGTAAGTTTGACCATTTTACCATTAGTTTTACCATTTTACAATATTTTTTGTGATTCATTTACACTAATTGTAATTTATAAGAGTTCTTGAATAATAGCTCTTTTAACACGTTCAGTGCGGCATACCTTCAAGCAGGCGCTCACAAATGGCGAAGAGGCCTGGGCGAAGCCCCGCCGCACGACTGAATGGGAAAACGCAATTGGCATTCAAATATTTCAGTATGACGAATAAAAAAAGAGCACCGGTGATTGTGCTGCATTATCCCGAGAGTGCACATAGTTCATTGAAACACCCAAAAGTAGCAGCACTGCCTGGATCCTTCTGCCAAAGTGTCTTTGTAATGTGGCTTGAAAAGAGAAAATAGCCGGAACCGGGACAAAAGCATTGCCAGACGGGATTTTACGTGAAATTTTAGTACCAACCTACACCAGAATAAAGCTTACATTCTAAGCTACAGGCTGGCAACGATTATAACGTTCCCCGTCAATGGCTGAGCTCACATTGAAGCAATGTTTTTGGCATTGGAGAAGAACGACATTTCCCGCCCCGCGCCAGTGGTGAATCCAGTGGTACTGCGCGACGTGAATTCCTGCCCCAAGCATTGAACGTGTTAAAGGCTCTGTAACAGCTTGGTCAATAATTAATTCTTCCTATGACATTAGAAATAAACAAAATCATAAGATGTGACAATTTTAGCACAATTTTGACGCTACATAACCGCAACAATCATTTAATTTTAAAATAACCATGCCCCATCATCCAATAATGTAAAAAAGGCAAGGTGAGTTTATGGTTCATTAGATTTAGTTATAACACCGTTCAAGACCAAAGAATTTTAAAAAGAAAAAATACTGACTGTAAGCCTCTTCTTTTCCTTTTTCTTTTCATTGACATTTGGACACGGTGAGAGTCCGTTTTCCACAGGCTCAGTCTTGATCCCTTCATTTGTTGTAATCTCCTTAATTTCACATACTGGGAACAGCAGGTTCTGATCTTCTTCGTTCTCTGGCTCGTCATTGAACTGCAATTCAGTTCCTTGGAGGGATACTGTATTGATGATTTTCGGCATACATCCCTAAAAAAAATATACAAAAAAACTGTTTAAACTATTTATTAAGAAAAGTATCTTTTTACTTAGTTACTTAAGATGATTCTAGGTTTGAAGAACAGTTAAATTATAAAATAGGCCTAATAAGCCTACCCTTGTAGGAGCAAAACTTCATTAATTTTTAGTTGATTATATAAGCTCAACTTCAATGAGCTCATTCATTTCCACCACTCACACACACTTTTTATAGTTATTTCAAACAGTAAAAAAAATTAATATAGGTAGGCCTAGGCCTACATAAAAGACATTACACAAAATCCATCCAAAAATAGTCAGTCAAGGATTAAGAATACAAGTTTTGTTGTGAAGAGAGAATTTATAAGTACTAAGCTTTTCGTTTTGGTTTCAAATCTGCATTTGAGATAGTTACCAATATCACTAAAACTATAACATTGTATCTGTGTTCATTAAAAAAATAAGTTATGATTTTTTGCCAGCCAACTTACTTAAGTTACAGTTCCTCAGAGAACCTAGATGTCATTACATAATCAGTTTTTAAATATTAGTATGATGTTTGTATCCTATCGGATAGTCTCCACTGGGTTTTATTTAATTATTGATTTACACCTTAATGTTTTTCAAAATTTCAAGAAACCTTTTTTCACAAGACTGTTATGTTAAGTTACAGTACTTACCGGTAGTTAAATTTGGCTTAAGCTGGTTCAAGTTTAGTTTATGATAATAACAAACAAGATACCTACCTAGACTAATATTTATAAAAAAAATATATATAGCCTATTTCGCTCGGTGGTATCGCCTTTATTTAACTTGATTCGCTTTTACTAATAGTATTGACATGTCATGAATTAAATGTAGTGACAAAATTTTATTAACACTCCAAGTCTCTATAAGGGTATTAATGTCCGCCCATTTATTGTGCAATTGCAGGGATTAAAATGTATCTTAGAAACTTAACCCTCCGAATGTTAAGCGTCACTTAATCGACTCACAACACACCCGCCGTGGTGTTATGCGTCGCTTTTGCGACACACAAACATCATTTACGGCGACGGCTCTGGGACTGACTGAATCAGATTGAACTGGATCGAGATTGGTATCGTTGTTTTTGGCAGATTCTAAGCTTTCTCCTGATGTCTGTTTCTAGACGCTTTTCATTTTAGTTCCGAAAATATTGTAGCAGACAGCTGACGTGCGTATTTGTAAACAACTTGGTTAACCTCGCACCGATGACTGATGTGTTTTATTACGTTTATCATTGCTTTAGTTTAAAAATCAAAAGTAGTTATATACGTGGTGCATTATAATAAGATTTAAGTGATTTTGAAGGGCTGGTTGATGATCTTGAAGAAGTAGGTAGTTATATTGATGTAAATTATCTGCCAGAGATCTAGCTAAGCATTCTTAGCTAAACGCTATGTACATTTAGCGTTAGCTAATAATGCATAGCCTAACCATAGCAAGGAATCTGGCGGATAATTTACACCAATATCACTACCTACTTCTTCAGGATCATCAACCAGCCCTTCAAAATCACTTAAATCTTCTTATAATGCACCACGTATATCACTACTTTTTATTTTTAACACTAAAACAATGATAAACGTAATAAAACACATCAGTCACCGATGCGAGGTTAACCAAGTTGTTTACAAATACGCACGTCAGCTGTCTGCTACAATATTTTTGGAACTAAAATTAAAAGCGTCTAGAAACAGACATCAGGAGAAAGCTTAGAATCTGCCGAAAACAACGATACCAATCTCGATCCAGTTCAATCTGATTCAGTCAGTCCCAGAGCCTTCGCTGTAAATGATGTTTGTGTGTCGCAAAAGCGACGCATAACACCACGGCGGGTGTGTTGTGCGTCGATTATGCGACGCTTAACACTCGCAGGGTTAAAGGCTTGGCTGCAACAATTGAGCATGACAAAAAAGCATTAGAAAACCTTATCAGGGAAAAAACTTATTAGGTTTCAAAGAAAAGAAGGGTAGACTCCCGTAAGTTATCTGTTGGCACAAACCATGGTGGAAGTAAATATCTTCCTCCATGGAAGTATTTACTTCCACCATGGCACAAACAACCGAATGAAAATACCGATCGATATGTCGTTAGGTTAGTTAGGTAAAGTTAACCTAACCTAACTTAACCCTAGAGCTGGCAGTAGTGTAACACTGTACTGGCATAGGGATATTATTGATTACTAGGAGAAACCCGTCGAATTCGACGGTTAGGGGCCTCTTCGTTTATATATGGGCGTGCGGCTTCATTGGCAACAAATAATGCAAATAAATGACATAGCAAAGTGGCATTTTCAAAAAGAAAGAATACTGTAAATTGGCTGTTACGTAAATATTAATGTTAAAATGCATTGTTAATCAACGTATCGTATAAAGGATGATGTGGTCTAGTTTAAAAGGAATATGACCTTTCTGTCATTACAGTAGCTGATCAAATAGTATTTACTCATTGGGCCATTTTTACAGCCAAAATGTCGTGTTATTTTCAAAAATGCTACCAACCCAGTGGGCCACGGTCCGTAATATAGGCCACTGCAAATAATTTGTCAAAGATAGGTACCGGTACCATTCTAGGCAAGGTTTCTTTCTGTGTTCGGATGTTATTAGACACGATAAGAGCTCATCAATTTTTAAATCAGTAAATAACATTGCAAATACTTCTTTTAGACAATTCAATAGCTCCCAATTAACGTGTGTTGTTTATAATACAATTTAAGAATTAACAGCTGTTTAATTCAAAAGTATTATCCACATGATGAAAATGTAAACAAATCTGTGGAGGGATCTTTAAATGCTTCTGGGGCAGAGCCCTAACGGGATTCACCTCGTGTTTCTTTTGGTAACTCATCTAGAGACCAAGACCTTTCTTTGGACACCTCTACCAAGTTTCTACGCCCAGTCGTTCTCTCAAATTAGTGGAGACAAAGTTTCCAATTAAATATTTAGATTTCCCCATGTTAATCTTATGAGAGAAAATCCAACTTTGATGGAAGATCCTGCCCAAACTAATAAAAATTTCAAAAAATTAAAAAGACTTTGCAAAACTACAGATCAGGGCCATTCTTTTGACACTTTAATTATCAAAATCGGTCAAAAAATGAGGGAGGAGTTCTGTTTACAAAAATCGGCTTAGCGTATTATATATAGATATATATATCATTTTTAAACCATCATAAAAATTAGAAATGGCAACATAACTTTGGATTGTTATATATCATTTTGTTCAGAATAAGACAAAGAACAATATTATATATGTGATTTACATGGTTACCACAAAAAAAATTTTTTAGTTTTTCCAAATTGTGGGCATTATTAATTTTTTTATAAAATGTTTAATTATAGATTCCGTTGTATAGCTAAGTGCATGTAAGACTTAGCATCATAAGGTAAATTGTAAAGTTGTGGTAAATTTTGTGCTAATTCCAAAAATATATATATTTTTTTTTTTAAAGAGGTTGGCGGCCTCTTTTAACCTTGCATTTGCCCGTCCACATAGACTAAGCCCCCGTGCGTGGATCGTTCATAGCAAAGCAAGGAGTGAGCCGGTACAGTACAAAGGTGAACTGTACTGATAAAATGTTATCGGCAGTGACCAGGATCCGAACCCACGACACTACTGCCTTGGGCCCGAAGTCCGCGACGCTACCGACTGAGCCACCGACTCACTAACAATATAATATATAGTTAATATATAGTTTATATTAGCTTATTTTGTGTATTTTGTTTGGTAGCCCTATTACTATGTCGATCGTACCCCCGCGCTAGTACCAAATAATCACCCAACCCAGGTCGTACAAATCCGTACACCTTATTTTAATATATAATTCCAGGGTACTCTGGTTTGTATTATTTAACTTATTTATTACAACAGTAACCCAAAAAAATACCCCCGCCGCAGCAAACCTGCCGACTAAGCGAATTTCCAGTTGCCTGAATTGATTTTCAATTAAATGTATTTAATAAACATTAATTTTTATGAGTACATAGGCTTGCTGCTACAGGGAGGGTAAAAAAGTGTGTTTTTTAGAGAAATATTAATAACTTAGTATAAAATAAATAAATGTACCAAGTTTGATCAAAATATATCCATAAACAAGCAGACTACAACATTTTACAATATTCCCCATAAGAATAACATGGGAATTTTAAAATAACAATTATTTGAATTTTCTCCGTAACTAATAATAGTACAAAAACACTTTGATATACTAAATTATTTGTTTTTTTAAGCTCTTTAAGAAGGTCTGAAGAGAAATTGGGAAATTTTTCGTTTGTAGGGTCAAAAATTAGAAAAACCCATTTTTACCCCATAAAACCCCCCGTAAAACCCCGTTCCCATGGTCCGATCATGCTGGTTCGCGAACTCATTCAAGTTTATCCCGCCTTACACCTTCAAACCAAATTTCATCAAAATCGGATAAAAATTACTCAAGTTATCGTGTTCACGGACACATATATATATATATAAATCTATATATATATATATATATATACCTATATATATATATATACATATATAAAAATTTGAACGAATGGTGTTTTTGGCCTCTGGGGACATCAAAATGAAAAAGTAAATCGGTCCCGCACCTAGGTCTTACCATGCCACCTACGGTAATAGCTACTTCCCTATAGGGAAATTCGCTAAAAGTTAACAAAACTAAAAAAAAAATATATATATATATATATAGGCCTACCGAACACCGGCATTGGCACCGTATATCCGGCGTCGCCATTTCGGCCGCGGCCGTTCGCGCCGTATATCCGGCGTTTGTCAGCGCTAGGGTTAACTAACCAAACGATATATTTAAACTTAATGAAATAATCAATATTTTCATTCGGTTGTTTGTGCCAACAGATACGGAAGTCTACCCGAGAAGAAACCCTGATTCCGCTGATAAAAATCTTCTAAGTTAACGCAATCCTACTAACTTCTGTGTGTTTTTATGTTTAATAGTCTCTGGTAGGGAGTTAGGCAATTAGGCTATCTGGATTTAAGCTTAGTACAAACTTGATAACTTAAATATCGAATGGAATAATATATCGATAGATATATTCATTCGGTTGTTTTTGGCCCCACTAATGAAAGTCTACAAAAACTATAGGCAGCCTATTTTATCAAACTTAGCTTACTGTACCTAACCTACTACCTACTACAGTGTAGTTGATCAGTATACCTACCTCTCAATAGGCCTTAAGACAAAATAACACTTAATCCTGTAGCCTAACTTATTGTTTTTAACCTCCAAAACCCACAAAATAGCACTAACTTCGATTACCTACAATAAGTTGGGCCTAAGTTTCAGTATTTGAAATGAAGAAAAAGGCCTAGGCTAGGCCTACATTCATCAAAATTATAAAATTATTTCTTCAATTTATTTTTAAAAGGCTAATATGCCTATATAACTTACTGAGGCCTATTTATTCATGTTTAACTTACATTAGGCTACTTTAGGTCTAGGCTAGCTTAACGTTCATATCGTCTACACTTGACTGTTACGGTAATATTTTTATTTTAATGCATATGGGCTTGAGGGAGCTAAGGTTAAACATTCTGGCAAAGAATAATAAATTTGTTATAAATTAGAGTTCTGTAACAACTCACCTCTTCATCTGATGTAATGGTAACGCTTTTACAAGAATCCATAAATGCAATTTTTGAAACTATTTTCACATAAAACTACTGTAGATATACATCTATTGCAAGGAAAAATTACCAAAAAATTATTAAGTTATGAAAGAATCAATCTCCAAATGGCCCCCACACCTCCTAAAACAGACAGTAATGAAAATATATACTAGAGACTGTCCACAATCTTCAGTAATATTTCTACATGTTTTTATGTTTTCCTGAGTTGTCATTGGTCAATAAAACTACAAAATGGTAGACCGAAGGCTCAAACATTTGAACGAACACTGAAGAGAGATTACATTCCTCTATGGATAATCTCCAGCTCAGACAGGAGATGTAATGAACATTAGAGGGTAATATAAAATACGGTACTCGTTAGAGAATGAAGCAAAGCATTAAAACGAAATTTTCCTGTGTTTCTAGTTATTTTCTTCAATGGGGCAACGAAAAACAATTATTCAAATTAAATATTATATGTAATACTACTTCAATTGCAAAGAGTAACAAACAAGAGGAACTGTTATCTGGAAGGCAGTGTCTTTCGCTCCCATAATGCCATTTCCAAACCCTGCCAACTGCCAACCATCAACCAATACCAATGTTATTAATTTAGTCACCCATCAGCCATGTCAAGGTGTTAGTGTAGTGTCAGTTTTTTCATGGTGAAAATTAATGTTGATGTGTGTTGTGTTTATAGTGTTTGAATCAACAATTTTGTGGATTACCTACCAAACATGAGCTGGGGGACGGAGCTTTGGGTAGGTTGCTTGAAAATATTTGACCTCTCTGTGTTAACAATATTAAGCCTAGCCTTTAGGTCTTAATTGAGAATGGGATGGTTCTCTGAAATTCCTTTAACTATACACTCTTGTAAACCTATAAGGTTCGTTGATATTTTGGAAATGAATAAATTATGGCACCTTGGCTTGATTTAGAATGTAGGCCTATTTACATTGCTTTACTATTTACGATGGAAATCTGAATCAAAACTACAGCCTATGGATTTAAGGAGTTTCATTAGGCCTACCATCAAATGTGCTTGAACATCATTAGCTTAGGCTAGTTGGTTGGCTCACAACTTGGCATCTTCATATAGCCATACACCTACCCATAGGAGTATTGAATGACATAAAACGTGATAGAAACTGCAGTAAGGTACCATAGTGTTATATTAGTACCTAAGGCCTACATTACTCGAAGTTCAGTTGCCAATAGGCCTAACCACCTAACTGGGGCCAACCAAGGCAAAAATGTGGTTCGGATTCCTCTATAAACTGTAGGTCCCTTAGTTGCCATTAGCTGTATGGGCTATGAATTAACAGCTGTGTCTAAGGAATAAGTCGACCTTAGTCACAAACAAGACTAGGTACTGTACAAGATCGCGCCAGTCATCTTCATTCATACTTGGCTTAAAATACCTACTTTGTACGGTCGCCATTTCATTGAAAAGTAGCCTATTATAAAACAGTCTATGTATAAAACACTCCCCTATTTGTTTTTGAAAGGGAAATCATAGACTAAGCAACACAAGTAGACTTTTCACTCCATTGTAAATTTTGAAGCTTGCTTTTCGTATCTAGTTCTGTAGTTCATGTAACGTCAACACTGAACTCTAGTGTAGCCCAGACAAAATTTTATTTTCTATTATTTTAGGGCTATTCATGATTTGTGCTTTAATGTATAGTTAAGGTATATGTATATAAGGAGACCAGTTATTGTTTATGATTAGATCGTTTTATTTGGTTAAACAAGGTTTTAAATGACTGAAATAAGAAGAAACAGATTGTAAACAAAACACGACCTCTGCAGTGCTACTTACTTAACTAGGCCTAACAATAAAATTGGCTTCAGATGTTCCATAAGGATGTCTAATCTACTAGGACCTAAATTATGTTTATCATTGACTATTGGATACTGAAGTAGACTTCCCATCTATATGGACCATCGTCATCGATCTCTATTACTACAACTCGATGATGGACCATTTGTAGCCAATTTTTTATTAAAAAGGATTTACAGCTTAGTTGTGTAAGCTAGTCACAGAATGCGATAGTGTTTAAAATTCTATTTTTTGTTGCTGACCAGGTTGATGGGTCATAACAGTTCCTATAACTCATCATAAGCAATTCCCTAAGTTTGACTTGGTTAAAAATATTGTGTATTCGGCAGAATTTAGTAATTTAGATCAGCGCAATCTGTAGGTGGCTCACATCAACTATGACATTTTTGATAAAAAAAAACGTTTATAGCTTATTCCCTATAGGCCTATGGGATTTGGCACAGCCACCTCTTTGGCTAACTGCAGCACTTATTGGGGGCAAAATATTTGTTGAATTTTTTCAACAATATATTGTACTGTATATATACTGTACTGTTAAATCAAGACACCCTCAATGAAGAAAAAATCTCCAGTGCAGCCCTGAGCCCTCTCCGTCTTAAGAAATAGCCTACTCTTATTGCACCTGGTGCAAGATATTCTAGTTGTCACTTCCTCCCCTTCCCACTTCCTGGGTGTCCCTCACCCCCTCATCATGCACCAACACTGTCAAGAGTTTTCAAGTTGACATAGCCACATAAAGTTAAGTGCTGTTAAGAAAATGATTTGATCATATTCCACTGCTTTAGTCCACGATGTCCACTACTGAAACGCTTTTAAAATTTACCCTAGATGAAGGCCTAATAAGACTAATAATTACCGACAAGAAAGTGTTTTGTGAATTGAGAATACTAAACAATTAATTGAGACAATTAATAATTGAGTGTTTTGTAATTATAATACTGAGTAATAAGAATTACTGTATTTACATTTAATAAATGAAAAAAACAAGCATTAGGTTTCTGGTTGTTTGCACGTTTGTTCTAGTACCCTATTGAATTTGTAACACAAGACATTGGTTGCAGGCCTAAATGTTTTTTTTTTCTACTAAATTAATAAGCACAAAAATTCATTCGTCATTGCCATACCTTATGCATATTTATTTTGGTTTATACATTTACGCATGTTTGTCAGTGTCTTGAATTCATTCGTATTGTTCAAAACTGCAAAAATGGAGTTGTCCGTTGAAATGTAAAATAAAAAAATTAGTTAAAAGTCGAGGTCAAATACTATATCTTATTATTGCCATAAAATAGTTGACAACGGCTTGGATCTTTCTTATTCTTAGGCTACCAATTCTTTTTATATACAGGGTGTCTGTCATTATTCACTCAACCCAAATAGAGTATGACAGTGTAGGCCTATAGGCTAGGCCTACTGACAAAAAAAGCTTATTACCTACTTTGGTTGGCATATCCCTGTATTAAAACTTTATTGCCGATCAGCTGATGTGTAGTTTTCAGATTTGTGTACAGAATGGAGATGTTAACTATATGATATGACTGACGTGTTGTGTTTGTGTATCAAGTTGAATTGAACGTATCGATCGTCCTCTGTTGTGTGAGTCACCGGCTGTCACATCACATGGCAAGTGGGCCAGTCATTTCTGTCACAGGGTTTTTGCCAATTTTCTCCTTAAAGTACATATTTATCAAGAAATGCAAGACTGTAAATCTTGCTCTATGTACTCATCTACAAACTTCATTAAATCATGATCAATTACGTTTTAAGCGATAACGTCGTGGAATTTAGATAAAAGTGAATCTCGTACAATTAAATTCTCTTTTAAATAACGTCCATGTTAAGTCATGAGGAACATTGATACAATTAGATAAATCACAAACAAACTCTGAATCTAAACTCAAAGTAGCAATGAGAATACTTTAATTTATTCTGAAATGGCGACCATACGAATGTATGAGCCAATGCTTCATTCAATCAAGAATGGAGATTGGTAAAATTATTTTCAGGCTATTTTCAGGTATAACATGAATTAAATATACAAATCTGACCCAAATTGCATAATTTACGTTTTATTTTCATCTCAAGTTTTTTGTGTATTTTTAGCGAGACTTGACGGTTACCTACCTTAGAAATGTTTTAACAAACACACGAAATATTGGTTAGAAGAAGATGCAGACATTTATACACTTAATTTTTTTATAAGAAATTAGTGACGCACAGCGATTGTCAAGTAACGTAGTTGCAATATTGTAACCTTTTTTCCATTTCTCTCGCCCGTTCTGTCTCGAAGGTCGTCTAGTCCTAGTGTTTACTCCCACTGTCACATACTTCCACGTGCTTCATTGGCGTCTTGCCCTTCTGTAAAACGTGATGGATGGTGATACTTCTTCTCTAGTTTTCTGCGTGCTATTGGAACACTTAAGCGCTTTTTCTGACTCTTTTTAATTTGGGTTAACTGGTTACTCTCTGGACTTTTAACAAAAATAATTGGTAAACCTCAAAAGTGGTATTATCCAGGTGCAGATTTTGAATACCATTTACTTATTTTCGAGACATGATAAAGAGGATACGCTATATCATATTTCGCTAAGATTGATGCGTTTTATTGATTAATATTGACAGTAGCGATGCATATTCATACCTATTGAAATCAGTTGAAAGTTATTGATTTCTTTTTACCAGTTAGAAATAGTGCTTGGGGTAGATAAATGACTCAGTGTATACGATAGATTCGAGTTTTGCTATTCCTGCAGTATGTCCCGGATCAGACGACTGCCCCGGCCAGTCCACGCCCCGGTGTATCTCAAGGTTGGCGGTGGGCGATACTTTTATAATCCCGTCGACACGACGACGTCTACCTACGCTTGCCCAGGCTTGTCTAATACCCTCGTTTCAACCTAGCTAGTTGAAGCAGTCTGCAGATGATCGTTATGAAGTTAGCTCAATTGCGCGGATAATCTATATCGTTAATACGGCTCTTCTGAATGAATGGTTTTGAAAACGTGTGATAGTATAGCACAAGTGTGCCAGTTTTGATAAGGTTGTCTGCTGACTTCCTCCACTGTAGCCACGCGATGGTAGGCCTCTGCACTACGGAGTGATCTGTTGTATGCAGTCTTTGGTCCATAGTCCAGCGTGTGTGTTATCTGACTGTCTGATAAGTGATCATGCTAGAGGTCATTGACAAGACTTCCTCCTCTGTAGCCACGCGATGGTAGACCTCTGTAATACACTTGTGATCTCTTGTATGTAGTCTTTGGTCCATCGCCCAGCGGCTGTGTTATCTGACTGTCTGATAAGTGATAATACTAGAGGTCACTGACAAGACTTCCTCCTCTGTAGCCACGCTATGGTAGACCTCTGCAATACACTTGTGATCTCTTGTATGTAGTCCCTGGTCCATCGCCCAGCGGCTGTGTTATCTGACTGTCTGATAAGTGATAATACTAGAGGTCATTGACAAGACTTCCTCCTCTGTAGCCACGCTATGGTAGACCTCTGCACTACACTTGTGATCTCTTGTATGTAGTCTTTGGTCCACCGCCCAGCGGCTGTGTTATCTGACTGTCTGATAAGTGATAATACTAGAGGTCATTGACAAGACTTCCTCCTCTGTAGCCACGCTATGGTAGACCTCTGCACTACACTTGTGATCTCTTGTATGTAGTCCCTGGTCCATCGCCCAGCGGCTGTGTTATCTGACTGTCTGATAAGTGATAATACTAGAGGTCATTGACAAGACTTCCTCCTCTGTAGCCACGCTATGGTAGACCTCTGCAATACACTTGTGATCTCTTGTATGTAGTCCCTGGTCCATCGCCCAGCGGCTGTGTTATCTGACTGTCTGATAAGTGATAATACTAGAGGTCATTGACAAGACTTCCTCCTCTGTAGCCACGCTATGGTAGACCTCTGCAC